GAAACAGCATTGAAACAGCAAGGATGTTTTGATTGGGTTTTTTAAAGTTTTTTAACTGAAGTTCAGGTCTGTCAAATAAATGATTCACTTTCAAAGCCCTACGGGGACCCCATTCACCACTCAATGACAAAAGCAAGTTGTGAGGAGCTTGTTTTGAAGGCCACTTTTCCTTCACTTCCCTGCTTGAAATAATGAGATTTCATTCAATATTTGCCTCTAAAGCTTAACTGGAATGGAGCCAGGGGTTGAACCCCATGTCTCACCGTCATAATAACATTGTCTCTGGGCTCCTTTTTGTTACGCTGACATGCATACGTGCCAGCATTGGTCTAATCGTGTCTAATCCTTCAACCACTTTGCTGCCCTCTTTGAATTCAATAACAGTACATAGCTGGGCCTATCTTCTCCTTTTCTCTTTGGGTTTGTTGAGCCCAAGTCAAGTCAACAGTTTGACCTTCTTGATTCAGCATGTTAATATATATGTTATAAATTCAAGGTTAAGAAGTTAATTATGATAAGTTAAAGGTTGATTAGAAGTTAAAAAAGTGTAGTGAACCCTGTGTGGGTCATTGCTAGAGTTCCAAATGACATACATATGGAAGGGTGTCTCTTGATAATACCATAAAATGACCTTTTATTTGAAAAACATAGGCCTAATTGTTGTTAAAAGAATCAAATAATTATACCAATGAGCTAAAAAGAAGAAACAAATGCTGCTTCCTCTAATAATAACATTTTTTTTTCTTGGTTGGGGTGTGGGGAATGCTGATCAATATGGAACAACCTCATATAGTTTTCTATTTTCAACATGAAACAGCTTGTTACTGTAGCAGCCTGCACAATGGGAAATGATATCTATTGCGTTTGCCTTTATTTGTAGTTCAATTTTGATGGAGAAATTGCTACTAATATTTTTCTTGATAGCGATTTCAATAATTCTCCTAAATTGATACTTGAAATTTCCCTCCATTTAGAGTGAATAAAAATTGGTTCTGTTTGAATGATCAAATCAAGCTCAACTCAAATGGATTCAAAATACAAGCAAACTTGAAATGACTTGACTTGCATGCACCCTATATTCTTCGAAAGTTCCATCAGACTTGCAACCCTTTGGGCTTGTAGGCTTCTCCTGCTCAGTCTATATATATACTTGTAATGAACGGGCTTCAATAGGATTTAGGCAGACACGCCCTCTGCAATTGGTTCTCCCTCTGACATGTTAGAAGAGCTAGCATTGCTCCTCAGTTATTTGTAAAAAATTGGTTGACATAGCCAAAGCTTCAACTACACCAATGCATGAGAATAACAAATCTGTTTTGCAAAAACTACATCCCTATTGCAAGAAAACACTGAAAAGTTATCAAAAACCCTTGGGATTATATTTATTATCCTCTCATGAGATGAACCATTGAAAAGCCTCCTCCTAGTCACACATATTGGGAATTTCAGTCTTTAACAAAGGCAACAATTCATTTGACTATTGGCTCAAGACATACAGACAAGTCTTGCAATCACTTCAAAATGATATTTTAATTCAGTGGAAGCTGTCAAAGTTACTAAATTGATAATAACCATACAGTAGAGCCAAAATGCATAATCTGAAATACATGCATGAACATGATCATTTCAGGGGTAAGCTCAATGGCTGAAAAATGCAATGCAAGAAGGCTAACTAATTGAACTTGCAAATTTGTATTATACCTTTGCCTTTCCTTGACTCTATAGTTATCTCCAAGTGATGAACTAATTTATGATGAAAGCAATAAATAATTCTATAAAAATCAAACAGAGCACAAAATTTACATAACTTTCCCAAAAAAAAAAGAAGAGAGAGAGAGAGAGAGCTTAACCTAAAACCCTTTAGGTCCAGTTTCTTTCAAAACAACAGGCTTCTCAACCATGGAGAGACAGTACCTAGCAATCTCTCTAAACCTAGGCACACTCCGAAGATCAACCTTTGTCCCAACTTTCAAGGTATGATAACATCACCCCACTCACCTGTGAAACGTGCCACCACTTGGACGTCCTTTATCACCGTGTAAGAGAAGTCGCTCCTATCCTGGCCCGTCAATCCTGAAATAACAGTCAACCATAGGTTGGTCAACCTGTACCTCAGGAAAAAGGCTCTTGAAACTGCAGCTAAAGTCAAAGGAAGCCATAGAAGAGTGAAACCCAGAAGCTGATTAGCTACGAGGTCACCGTAGTGGGCTCCACGGTCGAAGAAGATGATTTCTTCTTTGCGGTTTTTGGAGGTTGGAAGGAGTGCTGGTTGTGGAGGGTCGGTTTGTTAGGCGAGGACACGCGGAGCACGGTGGTATAGGAATGATAATGGATTGGGTCGAAGTAAGTTTTTGTTCGGTTTGAATTCGATCTAATTTAATTTTATATGAAATTTTTTTATTTTTTCATATTTTAATTCATTTCGATTAAATATTGTATAAATTATATCTGATCGATTCAATTTGAAATTAAAAAAATATTATTTTTTAAATATAAATATATAATTATATAAATATATATAAATTAAAAAATAATTTTTATATAATATTAAATGGAATGAAATCGTATCAGATTTATTTAAAATTCAAACTCAATTTAATTTTAATTTTTTTTTAATATTATTAGATTCGACTTAAAACTCGATTTTTAAAATAAAAAATAGACTTTATGAAGTCGAACCGAGTGGGAATCTGTTAGGAACGGAATAGGTTACCAACCCTAACGGTGGACTGTTTGCTGTTTCTCGAAATGGTTTTGAAGGGGAGGTTAGGAAATGGAAGTTTGGAGGAGAAATAGAGGGACCGGTGGATGATGGAAGTGGCGGAGGTGGCGGCCCTTGAAAGAAGAGAATGGAGGCCATGAAGGTTTAATTTTATCCGTTTGTGAGAGAGAGGGAACTGATAGGCAGTTAAGTTGCGCCGTTGCTGGTCATGTTTTTTGCCACGTGGCAAACGTATTTTTTTCTGGTATATATTTTTATTTATTTTTAAGATGACAGGGAACATAGAAACAAAGGAAAAGACCTTAGATTTTGGGCCCAATGTTGGCCCATTAAATTCTGACTAATAACGTAAGAAAATTAAAGTGGGCTGAACATTGCCTCTAGCAGGACCAAGCTGGATATCTGAGCCTCATTACAACTCTGGGCTCCAGCTTTGGGTTGCCGGCTTGTGGCCAGGCTGGCTCGGCTCGTCCGCGGTTGCTTTTAGGTGAGGTTCCCCCAAGGTACAAAAATGTGACAAAATCAATTGTCTAATTAGTTAATTAAGCAAAATTTAATTTAAACATGACATCAAATGCATAAAACAACCAAAATTTTATGTAATCATCATCAATCTCGAGTCTCGATAAATGTTGTGTTCAAATCGAGTTATAACTATCAATTGAATATTAATTAAAATAATATGCATGTTGAAAAAATTTATAAAAGTTTTGAATTTTAAAGAGTTTAAAAAAAATTTATTGCTAAGACAACTTTCCAAATCTAGTTGTTTCAATTGATTAACATCAAAAGTTGCTCCATAAAATATTGTTTTGGCCGTTGACACAACCCAAATTCATGTTACAAACCATTTTCAAACATTAAGAAATGCAATAAATAATCAATCCATGATCATTCATGTTATTGCTGCTCACATGTTATCTTCGATATTTTTGCTAGCAACCGCAGACATGAATGGGAATCCTCTTCTTCTACTCAAAGGAATTAAAACCAGCATGCATGTGGCCACTAAACAAGCTCTATCTCAAACATCTATTTCTTAATTTTGCCAAACATTTTTAAACCCATGTTGGCATTTTAAAATTGTATCCATCAAATGCCAAGGTTTACAGCCACGTTGCCAAAAGATTATCTCAAATCTCTTCACATGATCCCATAAAAAAGTATAATTAAACAAACAGTTTTTTAAAATAAACTAACAAACAAGCATGAAACGGCGTGATTAATTTAATTACATCCATAATCTTTCAGACTTTGGTGCCTATATGGTAACTTAAAATATCAAGATATGCAGAAAGGATTTGCAGATTTTATCACATATGCTTGTTTGTTTCCAATTGGTGTTCTTGGCTAATAGAGAATCTAATTAAGTTTATTTGTAAATCTATTATTACCCACAAGCCTTTGTTCTAGACATGAGCTGTGATGAATTTCTGATTCATCTGTCTCCATATTTATGGATTAATCCTAGTCCACCTAAAGAAAGTACATTTGATTAATTAATTACTGGCTAATCGGCATATATAATTGATATTACTTTATAGGAAAGAATCCTAAGTTGAAGCCTAGCAAGGAATAAAAGGTTGTTTATTTCTCATGTCTCCATTTCAATTCAAAACCCTAGTTTTTTCTTGTTTCTATGTGTTACACATTGTGCCAAGTGATTCGAAACCATTTGTTGAATATTATCATGACATGTAGATCATCCAGCCTATTTGGAACAAAATTATAAAAATGAAGCCTAATTCAAAAATTGAAAGCAATGACTCAGAGTGTGAAACTTGATCTTATCCACATATATAAAGATAATATTTCACGTATAGTCAGAATCATAAGTCTAAATCAAGCAAACTAGTGAGAAAGAATTTGTTTAAATGACATTCTCGAATACAATAGGCTTCAATATTGAATTAGATATTGTACTTGAAACTATGAACTTTGAATTATGATGCTTAACAAAGAGTTATGGTGCTTTTAGTAGAATGAGGATCATATGTTAGCTACCAGACAATGAGATAGTTAGGTGCCTAACACATGTACAAGAGTATATGAATGAATATTATTGCTTTGGATCAACTGAAACATAGATGTATCATGCAAAAGAACCGATGCAATTGATGACAATTAATTTGTATCTGTCATTGAAAAGAAGAAATAGACCAAAAATATGTTGACGAAATAAAAAGAAGAAGAAGAAGAGAAAAAGGGAAAGAAAAAGAGGACTGTGTTGGATGCTAGGGAGTGGGTGACAGTGGGTCATATGAATTTTTTTTTTCTGCATCAAAGACTCAAAAAAGGGAGTGCAGTAATGCAGTAAGACTCTGCCTAGGGCCAAAAGGTGGTTACATTGGCTTTTGGCGGATGCCATTCCTTGATTGTCAGCACAAGATTGCCAACGTCCCCTTCACGAGAATGACCATTTCCAACTCTCCTTGTTTTCTTCTGCTGTTCATCTGTTTGTCATCTTCACTCTTGGAAAGTGCGTTGGATACTCTCTCAGTCTCTCTTTCTCTCTTTTTATTTTCATTTTTTATAAAAAAAAGAGATATAATAGTTTATTAACTTCAAGTAGATTGTGTTCACCACTGGCGTTTACCCTTTAGCATTGAATGATGAATTCAGCAAAAAAAAAAACCATTACAAGGGCTCTCTTCGATGCACTCAAGCAATTTTTTTTTCTTCAAACAGTACAAAAGACAAGAATAATAAAATATGTAGCGAGAGAGAATCCCCTTTATATTTTTTCATGGCCCATGCTATAGCTAGAGCTGCTGCTGCAAACCAACTAGTCATCACTAGCAAATTACTCAAGTATAATTTAACTTGGAAATTCTTCTCGCATGATCCAACCTAGCAAACATCTTTCTCTCTTTCTCTCTAAGCCTAGGAAACCTGATCATATATATAACCATAATCATCTCTTCAGCCGCCTCCTGATCATCAAAAGTTTTCACTTGATAAAACTTCTACTTTTTACACCACTCTCTCTAGGTACCAAAACATTGGATATTATATAATGATTAGTTGCCCTCTTGATCTAAAACCTTTTTGTAACTGGGAAATGGGGGACTATTCCAAATTTGACACCTTGATTGATGAGTTCAAATTATCAATTGAAATGTTGTTGCTCAAGCCATGGCCAAAACCCGGTTTGATCCTCAATGCTGCAGAACATGTTGCTGAGGCTTTCTTCTTTAACCATTTGATCCATCTTTTGGCATTGAAGGTGATCAGGCCTTGGTGTGGTTTGGAATAGTTGTGCAACACCACCACCTGTTGGCCTTAGGGAAGTTGGAAAGAGGTTTCTGCTTGTTGGATGAGTGGATGACGGGCTGTCAATTGCTGGTGTCCTTGAGATATCCAACTTGACATCTGAGCTGTTTTCACTTCTATTACTGCAAGAACCTTCAGTTTCTTTATTAAGGTTAATAGATTCAGTTGGTTCTCTGTTTTTCAGTGCCAATATCTGCACCCACAAAATGAATTTATCCAATCACAGATGAAGCATGTTACACAAAATGCTAAATAATTCTAAATATTCCTTTACTGTCGATTTTAACTGGTTGAATTGATAATTTGATGCTACTATTATCTTTCAAAATAGAAAAGTGAGATCATTATCCTAGCTTTATTGTAATTACTTGTAAGATACATCTTTCATTCTTTCATTCATTGTCATGATTACGACCCTGAGCTTCAAACTATGATTAATCAACCCATAAGATTATGATAAGAAAGAGGTTTGTCATTCAAAGCCATTGGTTTAAGAAAGTACTGGCAGAAACAAAGTTTTGAAAATCATGATTCCATTGAAAGTCAATAAAGCATGAATGATAGATTAGAAGATTATAATCCTTAAACTTAATCATTCAACAGTACTTACTTGAATAATTGCAATAGAAACTTTAAAAAATTTTTTAACATAAAACAAAAAGACTTAATTAAGAAAAAAGCAGAAAGGAGAATTAATGAAGAAATATTTGTTTTTTTTTTTTTTTCGTTAGTTAAGATTATACCTCTGCATGAAGCTTTTGGTTCAGAGCTTGGAGTGCATCATTATCTGCTTTGATTGCTTCGTACTGTCTCTTAAGGAGATCATAGTCTTTCTCTAGTTGCTTGGTTTTCCACCTAGCTCTTCTATTTTGAAACCAAATAGCAATCTGCCTTGGTTGCAAACCAAGAGCTCTAGCCAGCTGCATTTTTCTTTCAGGTTCAAGCTTGTTACAAAACTCAAAGTTTTTCTCTAGAGTCTTAACCTGTTCCATGTTAAGCCTCCTCTTCCTTTCTCCTGCCTGCGAACCATCATCTGATAAATCATCCTCCCCATTTGCTTCTTCACACACATCTATCCTTGAAAATGACATTGATCTCTTCCCTTGAAATGATGCAACACCTATGCAATCCCCCCCCCCCCCCCCCCCCAAAAAAAAAAAAATCAAAATTCAATATCATAGATAAGATTATAAAGTGATAAAACCTTTTCTCTATAAGAGAAAAGAGAGAGAGAGAGAGAGAGAGAGATCAGATGAACATACCACGAAAGTCTTGCGATGTGCATGGAGGTAGCATTTGATCGATAGAAGTTGAGGGTTGATGATGATCTTCCTCATGAGGAGTTTGGAGAATGAAATTTGCTGGGAAGAAAGCCATCCCATTGCAAGACATGACCCAGCAGACAGGTTTTAATAAGCCTCAAATAGTATTTAGAAATCTCTATATATATTCATAACCTGAACTGTCATGATGTTCAAGGAATGAAGGATACACAGCAGATCGGTCCTCGGAGTGGACACAGAGTTTAAAGTAAAAATGGCAAAAGAAAGATTTGATGTATCAGAGTAGAAGGAAAATTAGAATTTCTTGAATTGGAAGGTGATGCAGAGATCTGTGTAAGATGGATAGCTTATATACCTTATCAACTTCTAGGAACAAACTCTTTTTTTCTTTTATACTATATATATCTATATAATCTGAGATATGATTGATGACTCTATCGTTCCACTTCTCTTTATATGAGGAGGGATTTATTCGACAAAAAAGGGAATTTAAAAAAAAAAATTCTTTTATAAATATGACTTTGCTAATCGAGAGGGAGAAGCTGTTTTTTTCTTTTTTCCTTTATTAATATTGATTAACAATAGTTAAATTTTCATCAAATTTTGTTTCAATAATTGCTCAAGTGTTGATACACACATTTGCATGTTCAGGACAAGTGAGAAAAGAAAAAGAAAGCATAGCTAGAAAACTAATTAAACCTGTTAATGTGGTGATTCTTAAAACATTTTATGGAGTTATTCCAATCCAAGTCCAATAAAATGTTCAGGATGGGAAGCAAGCACATTTCAAGAAGCTTGGTTCTATAGCTATAAGGATAGACAATGCTATTGTATTTCATATTTTAAAGTGAACTGGGTGACTTTGGGAGAGGAAAAAATACTTATAATCCCAAAGAAATCTGATTTTTTTTAAAACTAATTTAAAAAAAAAAAAAGTATTGAGATGGGTAAAAAGAGTTTAGGGTTTCATAGAAGAAGAAACTTTGTGATGTTTGTGATATCTTATGAGAAAATAAAGAAGGGTTACTTAAGAAAAAACAGAATTGAGTTGGAAGAAAAAGAAGAATTACAGAAGAGGCAGGAATCTAGGGATGGGTCCAATGAGAGGGGCAGGGGTTGCTACCTAACCCACCAACAGGTATCATGCATTAGGACCAACCCTCTTTCCCATCCATTATCCTTTCATCATCAGTTTCAGTCCTCTCTGCAAATGGCTCTGTATTTGAAATTGAAAGGAAAAAAAAAAAATAGAGAGGAGAGAGGTTTGAAAACTGCACAAGCAAAACTCCTGCTGTTAGGAACCCCACAAGAGCTGGTCTTTTTTGTCTTTGAGCCCCTTCCATATCTCCGTCTATCTCTATCCCAACTCCTCTCTCTTCTGCCACACCCCCCCTATATTTCATGTCCTATCCTCATCTTCTCTCTCTGAATTCTAATTCAATTTAATTTTATAATATAAAAAAAAATTTCCCATAAATCCCATGCTAAAGTAAAATTCTGCAAGATCAATACAAAATCTTTGAACTTCCCAACTTATAACAAACTTATACAGGTTATCTGATTAGACATAGATGCTTCCATGTATTTTTTTTTTTAGGGTTTGGATTTGGATTAGGAGGTGGGTATTGCCTTCAGAAACCAACTTTTTAACTTTTGCATCCAAATCTGCTGGAGAATTAGTTTCTCTTTACCCTCTTCCAACTTTCATCTATAGTGTCATCAACAGTATGTATGTTTATCAGCTACCAAAACGAGTCAAATATGTTGTTTTCATGCCATCAGAAGAATGTCCCACTCCTTCAAAAATCTTATGACTAGTTGCTCGAATGTTCTTTTTGATCATTTTTTTAACCTTAATTGCACTGTGGCTTGCATATGAAAAAATATATATATTCATTGAATGTGTAATTCTAGAAAAGTAGTAAAACTTAAGAGCTTAAATTGATTTAGTTTGGAAATTAAGATGTTTGCATTTGATGAAATCACATATGATCTTGAATTTGTAAGAAAAGAGAGAAACCTTTGTACTATATGTCAGAACTTAAGACATGACAGAAATATACTACTACATACCAATCTACTTTGAAGAATCTAATACGTGTATATACCAAGAGAAAACCTTGTTCTGGTAACTATTTATTTACCAAAGTTTGTAAAAGGACAATGGAAGGGTGACAAAAGCAGATTGAAAGTCAGAAAACAGTACCCTTAAAGTGAATTTCTCCTTTGACCACTCTACCACCAATAATGGTTTATGGACAGAAAGTGAAAAAAAAAAAAAAATTATGTTTCTGAATTTTACCTCTCTTCTAAAACAAAACAGAATCTATCAGTGCTACAAGAGAAATACTACAATTTTTACTAGCTGAGGACCTAAAAATCTGGCCTGAACGCACCGTTATAACTTTCTGCATTGTTAATTACAGAAAGATGGAAGCAAAAGGACGTGTACATAATTACCTTCTGCATGCAGAATATTAAAGGTTTGCCATTGTATTGGTTTTTTTTTGTAAATTGTTCAATCCATTTTTCCCCTTGATTGTTTATCACAGCAAGGAGAGAAAAATGGACAGATAGGACCCATGAAAGGAATTAAGTATCCAACATAAGGCCCCAAAGAGGTAAAATTATCCACAAACGTACAACTTACAACTGCCACGAAATTCGTAGATGACGTAACGGGCTGGCAGATTTCCCTTAGTCTTCCAAGTGATTGAAGGTGGGAATTGAGGGTTTGATCTTGACGTTGAGAAGAAAAAATAAAGTAGCTAATGTCATCAGTCAGAGTCACACCGGCTTTCACTTTTTCTTCTGATATCAATGCCCCACACTACAGTGCAAATGTAAAAACACCCCTTAAACCCTACCTAGTAACCTCATATTCAGTTTAGCCATTATACAATTATGAGTATGAACTTGATCTCTTTGTATCTTCTGTTATAACTTGGTTTGTTCATCTATGCAAGCTAGTTTCTGAAAATACAAAACCAAAAGGGGGTTAGGCCATAAATGTTGGTGATGCAAATAGAAATATATAGTGCATGCATGGGACGAACGATGAATTGGGGAGCTAGCTATGGTGTTTGTTGTCTAGACAATGTTTTGATTGGAAAAATGATTAGCTGCTTTTGTTCAACAGCGGGGATGTATCTGAGGAGGGGGGGGGGGATTGGGGAATGGCATATATAGTTTAGGACCCTATCAATATGCCTGTTGATGATGGTGGGTTCTATGCATTTAAAAAACTGGGCAAAGACAAAGCTACTCTCACTGCCTTCACACATGACTTTATTAATGTGGATCCATGTTCTCTGATCCTGTTATCTCCCCCCATTTCTTTTTCTTTTCTCTTTTAACTTACTACTGTTATTAATAATTAAAAATTAGGAAAAAATACTATAAAATTTACCATAATAAATAAAACAGAGGAGCTGAATCTTCTTCTCCACTTCTCGTATGGGTTGGGGTTGGTTCAGACTTCAGCTTGCAATCCCATTTGCTTATCTTTGCTTGATCACAATTTGACATATAGTGATTTGTGATCACTGGGTCCAGTTGTAGTTTTTATTATTTAATTCTTTTTCTCGTGGCCATGCTTAACTTTTTCTCACGAGATATGACCCATCATCACAACCATCCATTAAACTGCATACTTCTCGGATTCGCCATAAATGAGCACATGATAAACATATAAAGTGAGAAAACAATCAAATATAAAAATTTAAACAAACGAGAAATAAAATTTCTTGTAACATCTCGAAGAACCAGGTTGATCGGATCAACATGGTTTGTTTTTAATGATAAATTTGGTTTTTCCGTTTTAATTCAAAATTTAGCGCATGCTTTCAAACATTTAATTCCATAATTTACATTTTTTTTTTTAACTTAAAATGTAAAATTGGAATTTTCTTTGTTAAATCCAGATCAAAATTTAGTGCGTTGGCATTTTTAAGTTTTCTTGGGAATAATTTTGTTGGTTGATATAGGGCTTGGCTAATGGCTTACTTCTATACTTCTTTTATTCAATTCTATTCTATATTTTCCACCCAAAAATATTCAGAATTACGATCCAACAATAATTCTACCAATCTCAAAATTATGGGATAAAAAGTTCTGTTGTTGTGTTCAATAACCAATTTGCACGGTGAGGGTGAAAGGAGGAGGATATTTTAAAACAAATCATGAATAGGAAATTAGGAATTGACACACCAACCGTAAGAGATAGCTCGCATCTATTCTAATGTCATAACGTGCTTCTTTAATTTTCAGACGAAAACTAGCTTATATATTTATATACAATCCTGCACAAGATATTTGAAATATATAAATAAAAGGAAATTTTATATGTGAATGCCACTGAGATATCTAAACCACAATAAAGAAAAGTAATTACAAGGAATCAGTTGAGAAGTAAACCAAACAATGTCTAAGGACGTGTCTAGTCAGAGTTAAGTGGCAGGCAGGAAGAAGACATTCCACCTTAACAGAATCAAGTCAGAGTTTCTGTTAGGTAGTAATTTCAGTCTGCAAATCATCACATGCCATCCAGAAATGCCAAGCCCAAGATAGCTGCTGTATGCTGCCCACTTAGACAGAGAAGAGCTACATCTAATATACGAACAAAATAGATGCTCAAGAAGAGTAACGTCGTGACTATGCATGAGAAGTGATCAAGAATCAAGGGACACCAAGCACAGCACCAAACAAACTATACAAAAATGCAGCTAAATCATCTGTATCATAAATAGCAAATGCTTGATGATAATGAAGGCCTATAAATATTTTATCAACTACAGTTCTACACTATAGAAAATGACCATGGCAATGAGAACAAAGGAAATAATCTTAATAAAGTGAGAAATACGACAAGTAGTGCTTTCAGAGTAAATAAGACACTAATAATACTGTGCATGTATATTCTTTTCCATATAATAATTGGCAATTTACACTCTACATAAAGTACATGTACCCACAAGTGGGGGAAAAAATGAACGAATTTGGATATGTAATTCGCATATCTTTTAATATGAAAATTATACGTACGAATGATGGTAGAGCCATCCTCTGAAAGCAAATGACAGCATTTCCATCGTTGCCGTGCATCATAAACAGAGTGGTTGTCACCTTATTAAGGTCATTTTGTTCCTTAGCCAAAATGAAAACCAGATGACTTGAATGAACTTGACAGATCAGGCAGCCTGAGAGTTGCAATAATCCCCGCAGCAAGAGCACAGAACGAAGCCAAAATAAAGGCAGGTATATTTCCTCCACCAAATAGAGCATCCCATGGACCCGCACCAAGAGATATAATCATCTGACAAAACCAACAATATATTAAAAATCAGCTTTAACTAAATTTGACTAAATTGACAAAGCAAAAAAGGTAAAACTTTTTGATGAATAAAACGGTACCAGTTTTCATTCAATTTACAATACAATCATCATTTTATTTTATATGCATAAGAGGTAACCAAAATACAAACTTCCGTAAATATAAGGCACCCAAAATACTTAGATATTTGGAGCTCAAATTAGATAAATCCTATGAGCTAATGAAAGGAAAAACCAATCTTCTTACATAGTATGAAACCTTCTGAAATAATAAAAAGTAAAATTAAATATGATAATGTATCAAATTTTGTACCTGTGGAATAACAATTGCAAGGTTCAAAACTCCAATCGCCAATCCTGTACAAACATACAAAATGTTAGAATTTACCAAATTCAACAATTGTATAAAGCGGAAACACATGCTAGAGAAGATAGTTGAGATATAAACCTTGGCCACCACCAGAATCGGCAGTCAACTCTGCTGTAACAGAAAATGGAACGCTATAGGTAATCTGCAAGAACAAAACAAATTAACGTGCAAAAATGAGACATTTTTGTCAACAAAAACTAAAAGATATAGAAATTTACAGCAAGTCATTTCATACATACAGCTAGAGGGAAGCCAAGAAGAGCGAATACAACCAAGGAAGCAATCCTGATTGCTGCACTCCCTCCAAGTACATGCTCGATCCCTTGAGAATATTCTCTAACAGATACCAAACTAATGATAGCTGTGACAGCCATACAAGCAAACACAGTATAGTTGCTCATTGCCCAAACAAGTCTTGACCCCATCCGTTGACACATTGGTTCAATAAGGAAAGAACTAATGCCCAGAACAACCTACACCAAGAATTAACAGAAATATAACAACTGTTGAAATGAATACAAAAGAAATCTAAACACCTACAGCCCTCAATGAATAATGTCATCACATTAACTTCAAATGATGGAGAGAAAGAAAAATCTAAAAAGCTAGCAATTGGTACTCAATTTCGAGTTCTTACAGAATTTAATAGCAAACCAAATGCACCTTCTCTGACACCTTGATCATACAATTTTATTTCAGAACCATTCCCTTTTGGATCTCCATGATATACTTCTCTTCCCATCCAATCCGTATCAAATAGAAAGAAAGGGAACCAGGAAAGCTGCAAATAAAACCAGAATACATTTGAAAACAATAATAATAAGTGATTGCTTTCATTTTCCTCCTTTTCTTATTTCTCATTGGGGGAATGGAAAGGGCTGTGAAATTGTAGCCAACCATCAGATGAAAATGTTAACAATCCTTAACTGTCTAGTATTAAACAACAGATAGTTGGCTCAGGGCCAATTTCAAGGAATCAAAGTGTACAGGATAAAATGTTGAGACTTACCCAACTGAGAGCCATAACAATAAGCACTGAGTGCATTGCAGGTGGTAAATGCCTTAGACTGGTCAATAAGTTGACCAGTACGGCTCCAGGCCCATCACTGAAAACTTCGTTCTGAACGTTTGTATCTTTTGAGTTAGCATGCTTTGAGTTTGACACTCGTTCATATCCATTTTCAGCATTGTTCCTATTAGCATTGGCAACAATGGAAGCAACAGCTTTTGATTTTGAGTGTTGAAAGCCATTTTGTGTGGAATCATCCAACAAAGAAGCAGAATCTGATAAACGAGTTTGCTGATTTTCTGGTGGTGGAAGTGGAACCTCCTTAGCAAAACATATAGTCACAACAGTACAAAATAAGAGAAAGACCTGCACAAATGCCGAACAAATTTTTGAGCATATACAGGATGGCATCAAGTAAAGTGATAGAAAACATGTGCGACCACAAAATGCACAAAATTGGCATTCAAACACAGGACTAGCTACTGAAAAGGCACTTGAAGTTTAGAGAAGCTATACTATAAGTCTACATTGTTAATCTCAAACAGTATGAGAAACAACTATTTCTAGGTCAACTCATGAGAATACTCAATATATGGCACAACAACAAAGAAAATGATTTTCATATCTCATGAAATCAGCAGCATAATGTTAATGCAACTAATGGTCCACAACATATGCAAAGCAGATGGCATTTGAGATCAGCAATCTGAATCACAGTAAATGTCATGCTCATATTTAAGACACTTACACTTTATAATCAGTAAGGATGTCAAAGTGATATACCATAATTCAAGCCATAAATTGACAAATCAAATGTACTGAAGTAATATTTAGGAGTAGAATTTCAGTTTTTTAACATCCTAAACTGCTTTATCAGTGTAAAACTTCAATGGATAATGCTACTTACCACAGCAACAAGAAATGCTGCTTTAAGATTGGCACAGGCCTCACAGCAAGCTCTACTTTTCAAGAAAGGAAACCATCTGTGTCAAGATAATTAGTAAGAATTAGATCAATATCTAAATGAAGTAAATGATGAAAAAAATAACTGTGTGCATAATTGTTTGTTTCATCACAACAAAAACACATGAAAAAATTTCACCTGTGCCAACCCCCACTAGAACCAGCTGAAAATCCCAAGATGCTTCCCACAGCCATCCATAAGCAAAATATAGCATTTGCAGAATTGTGTTGATCAGGACCTAAAACATAGCCATCCAGCATCTTGTCATGCCCAGTGTTCAAATATGTGGTATATTAGAGGACCTCGAAAATGAGAGGCACCAAACCCAAACATCAGAATGCTACTATGTACAGGCTAGAAATTTTTTCATTTTCCTTCAGAAAGAGAGGAGTTCACCTGATAGATCAGCCAAAAGGGCACGAGCTGGTCCCTAAGAAAATAAAAGTTTTATTATTGGCTCACATGAATTTACTAGGGTAAACAGGAAATGAGGAAATAATTGCCATGGAAAGCTTACCTGCACCGTATTGTTAGCTAGATCCAACATCCAGAACCCAATAACAAAGACAAAAGCTGCCCTTGTTCGTGTACCTTTAAATGTACTGCATTGCATATATTATTTTGTCAATCTCTTTTTTTTTTTTTTTGTGTGTGTGTGTGTGTGGGGGGGGGGGGGGGAGGTGGCTATAAGAGCAGAGAAGGAATCAAAAGCAGAGATGGAAACCTGCAATGTTCCTTTGTATCGCCTAATATGTATCCAACGTCTGCAGAAAACCCGATTATTACCACCTAAATTACAAAACATAGTTTAGCAGATATAAAACACAGAAAACATAGTATGTAATATTTAACAGGTAAGACAATCTTCTTCAATGCTTACAGCAGCAGAGATCATGAGCGATCCAGCAAGGATAAAAGGCCTTCTCCTTCCATATTTTGAAGTGCATTTATCACTCCAAATACCAACACAAGGTTGAACCTAAGATCAAAAAGCAAGCAACTCAATAAATTACAACTACAGATAAGCATTCCTTCTCTGGTTCCTTTTAACTGTAGTCATTTAAACCTATTGTGCGCCACCACATCTATAGCCAAGAGGCATTTAATCACAAAGGTAGCCTGACTCCTAATTTGCACACAGACACACATGGAGAGAGAGAGAGAGAGGGAGGGAGGGAGGGAGGGAGGGAGGGAGAGAAGATGAAGCAGATCAACTGCCTACAGTGAGATAAAAGAACCACAAGATCTCTGGGGTATGAAGGAAGACAATGAGAATTTGAATAAAAAAAGTAATTCACTATTATGCAATCAAACAAATAAATCTTTTAGGGATCCTCTCCTTTCGATAAGGACCCAGTATATATGAAAGCCAGGCCCAACCTTTTTATGAGTTAGTTCAAAATGCAGCACGAGCTGTTATATCAGATTTATCAAGTTACCACATTAAAATATCATGTCAAACCCATAAGGATTCCATAGTAATGAAAAGGGAAATAATATAAAATTATATTTAATATCGTTCCCATCACCTACCACAAGACCAGTTATTGGACCGCAGAGCCAAATAAATGAAGAAAAAGCATGCTCTATTCCAAGTGTCTGCATGAACCAAACATACACAGTCAAACCAAAGGGAAAGCATCATAAGCTCCAGAGAAATTCAGAGCAGTGGAAAAGAAATCATGGCTTAAATACACCCAATTAATAATAAAGAATAATTTGTCTCTCAATACCATGATCTCTCTTTTCCAACTAGTAAATACACCCAATTTTTTCATAATTCAAACACATTGCATCGAATTCAAATTTATGACATTCATAGTAAATAACCTAATCTTTTCGGTTAAATTTTATTTAAACCAACATAAGTTACAAGTCTGATAAAAAAAAAGCATTGGACAGACCTGAATGTACGGAGTCAAGAGCGAAAGTTGCAAAGCCCAACCAAATTGAACCCCGGCGGCGACCGTGCAACTAAGAACCAAAGTCATTAAGCTACAATCATTAGATCTGGCTAGGATCGGCGACGATAAGTTAGAGTTTCCGTTGGGAACCCTCGCCAAAGGAGACGAGGAAGAGGTTGAAGGAGAGTTAGGAGACGAATTTAGACCGATCCGATGATGAGGCTCGTCGATCATTTCAACCTCCAATTCCTTCTTTAAGTTCCTGTATGGAACCCTGATCGACGCTGAGTCACTCTTTCCTGCCATGGCCTATTTGACTCAGTCGCTGATTATCCCCTACGAGCTAACTCAATTAAACCTTCACATTAAAATTTTAGAATCAAACATCAAACATAAAAAAATCAATACGAAAATGAAAATTTTCTCTTTTTTTGTTTTTTTTTTTTTTGGAATTTGGATCTGATTGCTAGGGTTTGAGAAAGAGAGATTAAAGTTAAATTTGGGCGGTACGTCGCAACTGCATCAAGAATTATGCGGATGCGTTCTAGATCTTTAGGTGTAGGGTCCGTTTTCTTGTATTTGACTAGTGACCGTGACGTGTCGATTGTGGGAACAGAAGTTGACATCAAGGGAAATAGCGACAAAGGGAATTTTGAATCAATGTCGTTGATTTTCGGGGGAGAAAAAAGGGGTGGATCAGGACCGTCGGTTTAAGGGACTTTGCGATTTAAGGGATGCTTTTTGGACGAGGGAAAAGGCAACTGCCACCGACCGGGGAATGCTGCATTCAAGTTTACGGACCAGAATGTATTAAAAATATAATTTTAGAAACTTTTTATAAAAAATAACGAATCATTGACGGACACGTAATTATTGCTAGTTAATTAGTATTAATCGACAATAAAAATAGCAATAAAAACACTAATTATTGCTTGTCAACTAATTATTAATTGCCAAAAATACAATGTATTATTAACGTTTTTGATCACCATGAAGGATTTGATTTTAGCCATCCTGGCTGGGTCGAATTATGCCAAAATTGTTGAGCAGAGATGCCTTGAAAGGAAAGAAGCAACTCGTCTCTTCAGGGGTGAAAAAAAAAATAAAAAAATTTAAAATTAATTTAAAATTATAATATTTGATTCAAATCGATTTTTTTTATTCGATTAAGTTTGAATATTAAATGTATATTACATTTAAATCGAAAGATAAAAATAAAAAAACTTGAATCGGATTAAATTATATATTTTAATTTTTTATATATATGTAAAATTTTAAAAAATAAAAAAAATAATTTTTTATCAAAATCTATTTAAATATATTAAAATTTTATATTAAAATAATACATAAAAATAAAAAAATTAAATTTTAAAAATTGATAAATCAAATTAAACCTAACCAAACTGAATTTATAAAATTCTATTTGATTCAAATCATATGAAATTTTTATTTAAATTCAAATAAATTTTAAAAATTTAATAATATTATATAATATTTTAAAAAATTAAGCTAAATTTAATCTCATCCGAACTACCTCTCCCTTACAATAAGGGTTATTTTCCGCATTGCAATTTGCGAGTGCAAGGCAATGCATTTTCTTCATGTTATTTTCATCTTTTTAAGCCACAAAGAAAAATCATAATTTAATACTTTGAAGATCAGCTAATGCGTATTGTGAAGAAAGTCAAAATAGATTTTGCATATAATCATCACCTCGAATGGAATTTCATTTCCTGCATAATCCATCGATGCACTACACAGCAATGAGACATGCATGAAATTGCAAATACAATACAGTTGATATGATACCACCAAATCATAATTTCATTCAAAAACATATATATATATATATAGTTTTTCCTTTTTTTACTATTGAACACTACAATTAAAATTGATAATTTAATCCATACTTATTGAATTTTAACTCGATCTAATTTTATAAAGTTGATTTAAAAAAAAATCAATGATCGAATCGTATCAAATTTGAGTTTTATGTAAATTCGTTCCTATTTGATCATGTATTTTTTAATTATTTATTTAATTTTATATTTTTATATATTTTTATATTTATATTTAAAAAATATTAAATAATATTTTACATTAAAAATTAATATTTTATTAATTTTAAATCAAATCAAATCAACTGTAAATTTAAATATATATGAATAAAATCAAGATATAAAAACAATATTTTTTTTATCAAATCTTGGATTTAAATATTAAATTTATAAAATTAAATTGAATTCGAATAACATAAAAACTCGTCTTAGCTTGACGATTAGATGTTATCTCTACAAAATTATCGAAGTCAGCTGCAGCTTTAGCTGCCCGATCTTATGCACCCGACACCCAAAGAGCTCCCTCGGAAAAGTAGCTGCTGCTGATCACAGTGTTTGCAGCAGAAGCAGCTGTTCTTCCTGCAACAGAAATGGCTGATTTGGTATTCTCTGACACATAGTACCTCTCGTCACAGATCTCACAGCATCAATCCCGGTACAAATTTTATCAGTGAGGCCAATCCTCTCACTTAGTTCAGCAACTTTAGCTACACCAGTTGCTGACACTTGATGAGATTCATCAAAGGCCTAAGCCATGCTTAAAGCATCTTTGCCTATATACATATCCCTTGGCCAACATGGCTTTAACAACATCCTGAGCGAATGAAACAGCTTCTCCAGCATGAGATACAAATTGGCTTCTCAATGGAGGCTGCTGGAGCACAATGACTAACAAAATTGCCACAAAGCATCAATTCAAGAGCAAAAAAAGATAAAAAGTCACATACATTCGAACTTGTTTCATCTTCATGGCTTCTTGAAGGGTTCCAAAAATGAAACTCCTCCTCATGCTGCCCCCAACTTGTTTTATATATATATATATATATATATATATATATATATATGTATGTATGTTGATCCACAATTCACAAACTAAGATTCGGTATAATTTTGAATATAATTAAATAGCAACACAAGGAAACCATCAAACATAAAAAATTAAGGAATGAAAAGCAACGAGATAAACTTCACTCAAAAGTCAAGATATTTACTTTGAAATATGTGATTTATTTTTATTTTTTTATTAAATTAATTTTGTTAAAAAATGAGGGCGATGGAGATGTTAAGCAAGTAAACAATAAGGAAATTTTGCTTATTTATTGGGCTGGCCGGTGAGCTATTTACTTTAAGCCTGTAAGTTGAACAATACCAGAGTTTTTTGGGCTGGGTGGCCGCTGTAGACTATAGAGTAGACTCCTTTGTAGGTTTTTAAGAAAAATAAATCACATATTTCGAACTATATCTGAGTAAGAACATGGGAGGATCCGAAGAACTTTAATTAGTAAAAGTTAGTTTAAGAAATAAGCTTATATTTGATACATTTTTAGCACATAAATTTTATATATTATAAATAAATTAAATAATATCATTTTATTAATAAATAAATATTAATTTTTAAAATAAATATATAAAAAATTAGTATTTTTTTAAAATTTACGTATTAATAAAATAATATTATCCGATATACTAACCTTTTTTATAAAATTTATATATTAATAACAAAGCAAATATAAACTCTTAAAAAATAAAAAAATATTTACTTATGCCCTCCAAAATAATGTAGCATATTTTTCATCCAATAATATTACGAGTTCTTTTGATAGTTTGGTGAGAGTTTCTTTACCGCTTCGTAATATCATTTTACGATTAGATTCTTAAAGATTTAGTTGTAAAATACAACTATGACATGGTGAGAGTTCTTTTCATCACACTACCAAAAGACCTATAAAACAACATAATCATAAAATTAAGTAAATAATTTGATATCTTTTTTAACCAGTTTTTTATACTATCCTAATTTCAGGCTTAAAGATGATCAACCCTAGTGCATGCTCATGCAACATGCCATATTAATTAATCTCGACGGCTCTGATCATCTAACCTGCTCGTCAGCAATGAGCAATAAAGGTGACGGATAATGCAAATAAGATGAAAGTCGTGTAATAGACTAGAACCATTTTCCTTTCTTTCTTCATTACTTTAATTTGTTGATATGTTGAAAAATGAGTATCACTGATTCACGGGTTCAAATTCAAACCCATTTCAAAAGAAAACTGATAATATTGTTACACTCTAGATAGAATTGGTGTGCGATAAATCACGTGTCAGCCACTGTCATCAGCTTTCGAGGTTGACCTTTCAGGGTCCACTCCAAATATCTAAATCTCTCTTTTGTTTTAGCCTTAAACCAAGGTGATTAACAGAAAAATTAACGTATAGAACCATGGCTCGAAATTTTGCCATATTCATGAAAGTGTCACCATCAATAAACCAAGATAATCTTTAAAATATAGGAGTATTTGCTTTCTCTCTTTGGTGCAATGAAGAGTTGTGATTTTCCTTGGTAATAGTAGCTGTAATCAACTAATAAAATTTTAATTTTTTTTATATAATATATGATGATAGACTTGATTAGTAAACAAGTCTCGATGACAAGGAGCCAAGGATCATATAACATGGTTAACTACTAGTGATGAGATCACCAAATATATAGAAAGGTAATTAATACTTAATATAGTAAAACAAAGGTGAGAATGAGAAAGGCAGATTATTACATAAGTAAACTCCTGATAATGGCTGCTTGGGCGCTATCGGTGTCTGTCGAAGCTAATAGCTGGGATAAACGGTCGCTTAGGTCGTCCACCTCTCTGTGTAAGCTTCTGATGTAGTTGCAAGTCTCCTGTAAGACCTTGGAAGCTGATACCTGAAGAGAAATTAGAGGGAAATATTAATTAAAAAAACATTATCTGTTTAAGAATAATTGTTGGATTTTGTTGAATCCTTTGAATGTGATGGCTAAACACGATGCATTGTAAAAGGGAACAGATTGAGTCCCACACCTCAACTTGTTGCTAGATGTAGCACATGAAAATAAATGAGGCTGTGAATATGACTTATCTACAAAAGTGAACGAAAGCCACACAAAAGAAAGGAAGGAGAGAAATGTAAAAAGACCACTGTTTGGTACCTCATCGGAACGCCTTCCACGAAGCTCGGGTATAAGCTGTTGCAACTTGGAAATAAGATCGGTGATCTGATGATCAGTGATCCTGGAAACATCTGACTGCCTGGAACGTGATCTTCTGCTTGACATTGTGTTCGATCAAAAACTACTACTAGCTTGTATATTCTGTCAGGAAACAGAATGAAGGTTTAAGGAGAGAAAGAGAAAGGGAAAACAAAGTGAGGAAACTCGTAATTAGAGACAAATGGGATATGGTTTTGTCATAAAGCTAAGAAAAAAATTGAGGTATGGGAATAGAATAACAAGCTGAGAGCAAAGAGGAAATGTTAAAGAGACAAGTTATGGACAGAGAGATAAAGCAACCACATGAACAAATAGAAGAGCAAGAAAGCCAGAGAAGTGATGATGCTTTGGTAGTGAACAAGAGACAGACAATTGCATGGAAGAAAGCAGTCGGCTATGCCGCTTATTAAATAAGACTCTCCTCCTAAGCAGGTTTTGTTTTTGGTATTACTGTGCATGTTAAAAAAAAAAAGAAAAGAAAATAGGAATCTAGAAGGTGGAGAGATAAGCCATACTGTCCTTCCCTGAGTGACCCCAAACTGGGGTAACTAGGCAAGTGGGTTAAGGGCAAATGTGCTCGGTAATTACCCAACTACGCGGGCCTCCCTTCTGTCAGTTTAGCACACAAGCCCACGTTATCTTATTACTTCCTGTCATTTGAATTGTATACCTATAAATATCACGGTATCTTCAGTGTTCTCAACATTATTTCATACAAAAACAAAAACCCAACACCCCTCTGTCTTTCTCTTCAATTTTTTATTCAAGCCAAGAAAAGAAAGAGAGAGCTATATAGCTAGAGAATAGAATGAGTTTTCTGAGTCTCCCAAGTGCATAAGCCAATTGATGAGAGCTATAGGAGGCTACATTGTTGACCAGTGAGTCAGATTCTATCATCTTCCTTTCCCCATAATCTACTCCATAATTTTGGTCTCGACATGGCATGTGTCTTCTCGTAACCTCTGCTTTACGCACCCAACCTGATTCCTCGGGAACATTTTCTCGTGTTTCATATCAATTTTTATAAGCTATTATATTTGTAATTAAGATTGGTTTTTCTTTTTAAAGAAAAAAGAATCTTGGGGGTGTAGTTAAGCATAGGAGCAGTTAAAGTATGCCACATAGATTCTTGCTTCAAAGTATCCTAGTTTTTTGCTCATGTAAATCAAGAACTGACCTAACTTAGATTTAAAAGTAATAAGTATATAGTTTTGTTTAATGTGTTTCATGTCCAGACGTGATATATATATATATATATATATATATATGTTGCATTACCTTTTCCGGCTAGATATTCCTGCATGCAGGTAGAAGTTAGATTTGTGGAAAGAGTCCCGGCACCTGCAGAGGTGGGAGCCAAGAGGGCAGGTGGAGGTCACCGCCTTCCAAAATTTTCTTTTACACTATTCTAGATTAGTAACTGAACCTACTAAAATTAATATGCATCCTCTCTTTCCCTATTCAATTTATTATTTGGCTCCCCTTTTGTTATTATCTAGCTTCGACTCTGAGCAACTGGTGATGAGCGATGAAACATGATCCTAGCGACAAGCAACTTAATTGGATCTAAATTCAAATAGTTTAATCAGTAACATACATAAGCTCAAGAGTGAACAAAAATAATAATCACTGTTTATACCCGAATTAAAACCTTTATAATTAAGATGATTAATGTTGATTGTCTTGATTTCTTCGATATAGAAAGAGTTTATATTTAATATACTATTAGTAAATCAAATGATATTACTTCGTTAATGAACAAATATTAATCTTTAAAATAAATATACAAAAATTAATATTTTTTTTAAAAAATTTTTATTAATAAGGTGATATCACGTAATTCAATTTATTAATGAGATGACATCATTCAAGAGTGTATAAAATATAAATACATATGGAAATCAATATATAGTCAAAATTTTGTTGCTGTAGTGGTGAATGATTGGAGGGCTATATATATATATCTAAAATTTTAGGAAATGATATTTCATTTCCCATGTGACCTCTAAAATTCATGCATGTCTAAAGTTCATGCATGTTACAACACATTGAAGGTCTCAGCTAGCTAGGAACACGACAAAATTCAGATTTGCAAACTGTTTCTGTAATTAAATATCAGAAAGATCACTGATGAAGCACTAGTTTGTTTATTCAATCACTGCCTCTTCCCTTTTTTAGCCGTAAGTGTTTTTTTATGTTCTTTCTGGTGGGGAGTGGTTGTAGTTCTCCACGTGCATCCATTGAAAAATCTTACAACTCTGAAAGTCTGAAGTACACATATTTTTGGGTCTTCAATTTACCATCTTTTCTGCATCACAATCGGCATACAACTAGGTAACCATCGAGGAATAACACCCCAGCTTCCGAAGCAATCTTGTTGCTACTGCTTGTTGTATTGGATATAATTAGTTGCCAAATTTGGTTTAAGTAGTGAAAGAGATTGATCCCCGGCCCCCAAACATTAATGTCCATTAGGTTAATGGTATAAACATAGTCACTATATAATGATTCTCCTAGGCATAGCTTCTCATATACCAAGGGCTACTACTTTTAAAACAAAGACATGGAATGTAATATTAGAATGTATAGCTCTAAATCCTTAAGGGGAGTAATAATTTTTGCAAGAAGGCGAAAAGAAAAACAATTCCAAATGTGTGTGTGTGAGTTTAAATTCTATATGGATGAGGTGTAAAACCCTTCATATAGACCATCCAATTATACCAATCAAAGCCCTTGCCCTCGATTTTCTTTCTAGCCTTCATCCTCCAATGGAATCATATACTTTCATGTCATCAAGAATATAACCCTAAAGTTGATTTAATTGAGCAAAACATGCATAAGCTCTATGTCTAGCAATTATCAAATTGCGATATACTTTTCTCCATTTCTTTGGAACCAAATATGGATTTTCTGCAAGTATGCCTGCGATTGTTTTTTCTTTAGCTGATAAAAGGATCAACGGGTCTACAAATGGTGAGTTGTTTGAAGATCCCATAGTTGTTTATCATATGATACTAGGGTAAGTTTTGTAAACTGAAGACGTTTGATTCTTTTCGTGGTGTGGAGTAGTGATATAGGTTTCATATCTCATCCAAATATATTGCTCTTGACATCAAGGAAACAGAGAAAGTCAATTACTGTATAAAACAATAAGTAATTTCACATCTTCAAAAAACTCCAAGATAGTTATATTTATCACACATCACCTTCTTGACAATATCCTGGCAATCTCAAGTACTCATACCTTTTAAGTCAATAGAGTTATCCAATTCTTTTATGGGTATATTTAGAAAGGAATAATGATAACAGCGATAACAGGACAGAACAGAAGTTCTGTACTAGTTCTAAATGGGGTTGGCAAACCGACCAATATCTATTGGATTCTAACTAGATCCGAGGTCAATTTTTTTTTTAAATCGAATTATATGTCAAGTTGGATTTTTTTTAAAAAATATTATGATTGGATTTTATATAAATTTATCCCACCCAACCCAACTTGGTGTATATATTATTGAATTGAACTTAATTTGATGGGTTATATTACATATACTAAGCCATTGTGGCCCAAGGTTCGATTACCATTTTGGGACCATGTTGATCATTAATTCTAAGCATCTTTATTGACTAATTACAAGTTCACATCAATATAACTTAGCATTGAATGATTATTATTTCTCCAACGCAGAGTTTTTTATATTTTTTTTCTTGACTATCATAAATATATATTTTTTGGGTATTAATAAGTTGTAAGAACACTAAAAAATAATTATGCATAAATCAAAATTTTTATTTATATATATTAAACAAAACTAATTCCAGCCCAATGAAAAACTTAAAACAATACAACCCAAAAGAAAACCAATCCATACCCAACTCAATAAAATCTTGCAAAGCTCATATCTCAAATAAGGATTCAAAGCTTGCAAATAATAACTGCGCCCAAAAACCTAATTCATATTTAACAAAGTCTCAGCCATTCACACTCTTATCAAATTAGTAAAATTAGCTTTAAATTTCTCAAGTTGATTAAGAAAGTTGGCAAACAGATATGTTTATAATTAAAAAAAAAAACTAATTAGCTTTTTTTTTTTTAACAAAAGAGACTGTAGACTATCGGTTGCTCTATTAATGTAATATCGATCTTGAACTTTCTAACTAAAATTTGCGAGTTTACTATGGTACCACCACATGCGAACATAGGTATAATTCCAAACAAATAAAAAAGATTACACAGTTGATGCAGTAATCATCGAATCCTTTATTATTATTATTGTGGTTAAGATTCTAGCAAAAGAACAGCTAAGACAAACTTCCCATGACGACACATAGCTTCTCAAATAAGATCATTAGAAAGAAAGATTTCTTTCTAGACAACAAAGTGAAAGGTACGAATTGGAAAGCCAACTAAGCTTTGGTGGTGAATCCATTTATGACTGGCAAAGGTAGCATTTATTCCATTTCATTGCAATTGATCAGACCCTGAATGAAACCATGCATGCTTGCGTGCCCCAGTTCGATGTCAATCAAATCTGAAAGTGTTTGCCTTTTTTTTTTCCCTTTCCTTTCAGAACCTGATTCTCCAAAGGAATTTCTTGGTCCCTATACAAGAAAAATGTTTTAACTTTCATTCATGTTCATATAGTGGACCTGGACATGGCTAAAGTGCTAAAAACAATTACCGAAAGTACCCCTGGAAATGGTTTTAGCCTGATTGTTTCTGCACAATGGTTTCATTGTTTGGTTATCAACACATCTAAAGTCAAAATAAGTTTGAAATATTATTTAGGATGCCCTAAAAGAAAGTGAGGTGGGCACACTGATTTGGAAAAGTTGAATCTCCAAAAGAGTTGCTGATAAAAACACAATTTCACCCTAACCGACCTTTAAAATGTTGAACTTTTTAATATTGTAGCATGTTACAATTTGACCCCAATAGCCAACAGTAAATCATACACTGAACTTGATATTTCTACATGTTATCATCGAAGAAAGTGACAAATAGTAGTGGAAAACATATTGAGTTTAAAGCAAAAGGGAATGAAGTAATGTCAAACATTCAATATATTTTGTTTGGGAAATGTTAAATCTGTGTCTTGTGAAGTTACTGTTGTCCACAGGCTTCGTAAACTTGTTTATATTCAACTCTCCACAAAATTTGTCATTTTTTTCTTTATATACATATATATATATATCCAAATTTCATTTTTTTTTTTTAAATCCATGATGAAAATACTAGCTGATAACGTTTGAGATAATCAATACTTCTTAAAGACCGAAGAATAAAAGTGATTAGGGAAATAAAGAAAAGGAGGTTGGCCGAGTGATGATTACTTTTGAAGGTTTAGTAGGCAAGAAAGCGCTAAGCCGACCCCTGTCCCTGTAAATTATATTATTATGTATAATTAAAAGTTGAAATCATTAATGAGAATCTTGGCACAGTGAAAGTTGATGAAAATGTGTTCCCATTAATTGAGAATGAGAATTTTGGTAGATGTCTTTCTTTTTGTCTATTAAAATTTAAAATTATTGTCTTTTATTATTTTTTATTAAATTAATTTGATTTTGATAATTATTTTAATAAGATAATAAAATAAAAAATTTTAAAAAATAAAATTTGTAAACTTTGAATTTTAAATTTTTTAAAACATATTTTAAAAAAATTTTAATTTAATATTATATTTCAAAATATAAGATCAAAGTGAAATTATTTTGATTAAAAAAATTAATAGAAGACATTATTTTGAGAAAAGAGGAGTAATAATAATCTGAAATTATTATTTTTATTATTATTATAAAAATAATGTGTAATTAATTTATCAATTGATAGTTACTTAATTAGTCTGAAGCTTTTCTTTTTTTTTTTCTTTTTTTTTTGCCACAATAAATCTGAAGCTTAATTTTTCTCAAAATGATTGTAATCAAAGCCCCTGGTTTCTGTACAGCAAGGCATCAAAATTCCACTAACGGATAGAGATGATAATAGTTTAAATAGAATCGGATCAAATTTGATTTGATATTTTTAAATATTATAAAATTTTAAGATTTAATATAAATTTAAATTAATTATTTTTTAAATTGATCCAATTTGAAGTAAATTATATCATTTAAGTTTGATTTATTAATTTTTGAAAATTTTTATTTTTTATATATTATTTTAATAAAAAATTTAATATATTTAAACAGATTTTTATATAAAATAATACTTTATTATATAAAAATTTAAAATATATAAAAAATTAATAAAAATATATAATTCGATTTAATTTAATTTTTTAATTAATTTTTTATATTTTAATTTAAAATTTAATTTAATTTTAATATGTATTTAATATCTTATATTTATATAAATTAAATAAAAATTTTTATCAAAATTAAATTAAATATTACAATTTCATTTTTTTTTTTTTTTCTCACCCCAACTTACCGAAGCTGGGAAAATAGGAGGCACTTACCAGCCGATAAGTTAGAACAGTAAAAGACGTACGAGTATCGGAGTCTTCTTTCTCAAAAACTCTGTCTAGAACTAAAAGAACAAAAACAAAGAAAGAGGAGAGGGACAGCTTTTAATCTATCAGTATCACACTAGTCAACACGTGTCTCAACCGGCGCCTACCGGTTACCGGTTGTTTATTCCACTTCATGGACCCCACCACCAGCAACACCGCCCCCCGCCTCCCCTCTCCTCTTCTCATCATCACCATTCACCACCTCCCTCCCAATTTTTATTTTTAATTGGACTCCGAAAAACAAACAAAAAGCAAAACCAAAAACAAAAACAAAAACAAAATGCAAATTTTTTTTTTTTTGGGAGAGAGAGACAAAGGGAGAGCGGGAGATTGAAAGAGGAAGTTTAAGAGCGATAAGGGGGACCTCTTAGAGATTTCGCTCGCAAAGCTCCCTCGCTCTGATTTGCAGAGAGAAACAGAAAACCAAAAAAAATAAATAAATAAACGAAGAAACAACAAGAACGCGAAGAACAGAAACAGCAACACCAATCAGTAAGTCCCTCGCATTATTATTATTATTATTATTATTATTATTATTATAACAAACAGATCTAATTCGCTTTTGTTTCCTCTCTCCCTTCGAATCTTGCACTGTTTTTGTTGGTTCTTTTGTTTGTTTAATGATATTCTGAGATCTGGTGCTTCTTTTTGTTCAGCTCGTTTCGTCGTGAATTCTCCTTTCTTGTTTTAACAAATTTGCCTCCGCCGTTACTTATTGTTTGACTTTTTTTAAAATTCTTTCCCAAAACTAACACACTGGCCAAAACAAATCCTCTGAAAATTCTTTTTATTTTCTTTTATAAACCTCAATTTGGATCGTCCTTTTATTGGATTCAAATTCCTGATTGGCTTGTTTTATCGTTTTGAATTTTATTTGAAACTGCTCTTTTTTTTTTTTTGGTTTCTGAATAGGTATAATTTGTTAATCTTGATTGCGTTTGTTTCGGGGAAGCAAAAAAACTTGTGGTTTGGGGCAAAAGAGTCATGTTGGAGAATCGGTCCTGCGAGTCGTGTTTGGTGTTTGCAAGATCTTGTCAAGAAGAAACCAAGTGGGCTTACATGTACAATGGGAAGCGTCCACTGGAATTGGCCGACTCCGATGGTTGTTGTCGAGGAAACAAGTTATCTAAGCTCTATGATTCATCCAACGACGACAATAATACTGATACTTCTTCCCCTCAAGACTCACGTGACCTCGTCTTGCCCGATTCACGTTATCAATCCTACGGTGATATTAAGCAATCTGATTCTGCTTCGGGTTTGGATTCTTCAATTATCCACCACCACCCCATTGGACTGGATGAAACAGATTTGAATAACCGATCAGATGATGACAGGCTTTCAGATTCTGTGGAAGACTCAGCGAAGGAACAATCCGAGGATGATGATGATGATAACAGCTTTTCAGATCCTCCTGAGGATGAGGAGGAGGAGGATGGTTGCCGGATACATGCTGGCAATGGTTCCTCAGATTTGGATGCACTAATCGAACCATGTGGCAGAGACAACTCCATCAATTGTCTGATTAGGTGCTCAAGGTCTGATTATGGTTCAATTGCCTCATTGAACCGGAATTTTCGTTCCTTAGTTAGGAGTGGAGAGATCTATAAGTATAGGAGGCAGAATGGTGTGGTTGAACATTGGGTTTATGTTTCTTGTCGCCTACTTCAATGGGAGGCATTTGATCCATTTCGACACAGGTGGATGAATTTGCCAAGGATGCCTCCCAATGAATGTTTCACTTTTTCAGATAAGGAATCGCTGGCTGTGGGAACTGAGTTGCTTGTATTTGGAAAGGAGGTGACTTCTCAGGTTATATATAGGTATAGTATTTTGACAAACTCATGGACTTTGGGAACCAGTATGAATGACCCAAGGTGTTTGTTTGGGTCAGCTAGTCTTGGAGAGATTGCAATTTTAGCTGGTGGTTGTGATTCTCAGGGTAATATACTGAGCTCTGCAGAAATGTACGATTCTGAGACTCAGAAGTGGGAGACTCTCCCACGCATGACTAAGCCAAGGAAGATGTGTAGCGGGGTATTTATGGATAAGAAATTCTATGTAATTGGGGGAATTGGTGGAGTGGGGAAGGATGCAAGGGTTCTCACTTGTGGTGAAGAATATGATTTAGAGACGAGAAAGTGGACTGAAATTCCTAACATGTCTCCTGGAAGGAGTGGAGCAGCCGGTGATGCTGAGATGCCTGTGCCAGCTGGGGCACCTCCTCTGGTTGCAGTAGTGAATAATGAATTGTACGCTGCTGATCATGCTGACATGGATGTAAAGAAGTATGATAAGGAAAGAAAATCATGGTTGACCGTTGGAAGATTGCCTGAAAGAGCTGTTTCAATGAATGGTTGGGGCCTTGCATTTAGAGCATGTGGAGATCGCCTTATAGTGATTGGTGGACCTAGGGCTTTCGGTGAAGGTTTTATAGAGCTCAATTCATGGGCTCCGAGCGAAGGGCCTCCACAATGGAACTTGCTTGACAGAAAGCAATCGGGTAACTTTGTGTATAATTGTGCTGTGATGGGATGCTAAGAGATGGATTTTGGTGGCATCTTGTGCAGTGGAATGGTGCCACACTACACCTGGAGTTTACATGATTGGTTTCTCCTTCAACACAGAATTCTGAATTCTTGCTAATGGTAATTTTCCGTTCCTTCTTTTTTATATCTTTTCCCTCTTGGATAGGGGACGATGGGAAAATTTTCAGATTTTACTCAGGACTCAATAGAATGTTCTATTGTTAAGGATTCAAAACTTCTTCCACTAAATTTGTGTCTTCCCCCGTTTTCATTGACGTGAGAACTTACAAAGGTTGGCGTCATGTAACACAGGAATATGTTTAATAATTTGAAGTACCAACACATTGGTAGGTTGCCGATGCCATTATAGTTATGTTGAAGCTTTCTTAAGAACACAGAACTATTGATATGATATAGGTTCCTTCATCCTTAATTTTCTTGAAATTGTCTTTAAGTGAGGAAATAAGTAATGGAGGTTGTAATCTTGGATGTTGGCTGATGTACTGATTTCACTGATCATTACAATTGACATGACATAGTATAATTACTAATTGAAAACTCGTTCATTCTGCAAATTAACTATTATGTCCTGTTTGTATGTTTAATTTCTGAAGGCAGCACTGAATACAGAAGTGCAAGCTAGGTGGATGATTTTTTCTAGTTTCTTAAACTTTTAAGAATGCGCAATAAATTGGTTTTGAAATAGTAAAATCTTCCTTTTAAAATCACTCTGCCTATCTTTACACATGAGCAAATTTCAGTTTTCATTTCACAGGTTTCGATGAGGGACACAACAAAAATTCTTGTTCTGTTTTTTTCAGTACTAGAAGTCTGTCGGGATTATTTTTTGTCCCTAGCAGCAGCATTTGTCAATGAATCAGAATGAATTCATGTGCATTTATTTTGCAATTTACCCACTCCTTTTTTTTTTAACTGTACTGTCAGTTTGCATCCCCCTTGGTTTGTGCTGTGATGTTTGACCCCAGAACTTCACGGGGACCTATGGGCTCATGATCATGAAACCAACTGCCTGGCTTGAGTTAAGCTTAGGGAAGTAAAGGAGACATTTGTGCTCATAAACTACTTGAGTTAGATAAAAAAAAAAAGAAACTCGAATTTCATTCGAATATTGCTAAGTTCAAGCTGTAACACAAAAAAGTCAAATTATTGAGTTAAAAGTATTTTAATATTCTATTTGAGTGGTTTATGAGTTTAATTTAATTTTTTATTATAATTAATAAGTTATTATTTTACTTATGATATACATAATCTAAAATCATTTTCACTGAATTGATGATAGAATGCTTAAAAATTTTGTTGCTATTGCTAAAATTTTGCAGCCAATCTAATAAGAAAAAAAAAAAAAAAGGAAAACCTGATACTTGAGCATTCCCTTAAAAATGAATCATGAGAAAGGATCCACGATAAAAAGCTCACTGAGTACTGCTTTTTCTAAATAATAATGGTTTTGCTACTAGTTGCCAAGCTGTCAATTTTAGTTGGGTTAGGACTTTTGTCTGGATGGGCTTTAAAAACTAACACCAGGTCACATTTTATACGTTTTTCACTACTCTTTTGGGTAAAGTTAGCTCCACTGATTGAAGCACCTGTTCCCTTTTGAGTGAAACCTTTGGGTCCAATCATTTGGTTGTAGGTTGAAATGTCCTTTTAAACAACAAATTTCAATCCATATTTACTATGGGCTCATCTCAAATTCAGAAGAAGCCTAGCCCCTCTACTTGGCTTGGAAAAAAGCAGCAAATGGAGTTTTCTTTCTTGTGCTTTTCTCAAGGGAATTTCCATACTTTATAAAAAATTTTGTTTTAGAAATATGACAATATTTCAAGCTTTAAGAATTAGTTTGATTTATTCTTTTATGCAATTGATCATCTACTCTAAAAAACCCCTATCAACCAATATGTCTCCAGAAGATCAAAATCTTGATCGAACTCTATCAAGATAGAATAATTAAGAAAAAAACTATTCCCCAAATCCAGTCATGGAGATTATTTTTTTTTTACATGGGCTCCACTCTCTACCCTATATTCTAAAACACGTGAAATAACACTATTTTCGTTAGTTTGAAACATGTCTTTTAAAATCAATATATCATTGATATCTGAATTGACCTTTATTAGATTTTAAATTTTTTTATATAAAAGAGATTGTAATTTGAAGATAAAATAACAATAGTGGGCTATATGAATTATGTCCATATATCTTCCACTAATTTTCAACAACAAAAAATAAAGGAAGGTTTCACTTCATTTCTCCTTTTATTTGTCTCCCTCTAAACTATCACTCTACCTAGGAACATTAAAAATTATCCACCCAACTAAAATACATTTTGTTTTTTTTTTTAAAAAAAAAAGTGGGTTTTAGATGTATCATATAATTGTTAATTAAATCTTTGAATCAAATTTTTTTTAAAAAATTTATCCCCATTTCTTCAAACAATATATTATAAATTTAAACTCATAATTTAGTTCAGTTAATTTATACGATTATTTATAAGATATGGCATCTAAGATGTTTAAAATTTAAAATTTAATATTTATAATCTTTTTTTTTAAATTATGATTTATTTTGTACAAAAAAATATATATTATAGACTTTTAGAGAGTGTGTGTGTATATATATATAAATATTATTTGATATATTAACACAAAAAAATTTTTAATTTTACAAGCAAATATATGTTTTATTTTTTTAATTAATTTTTTTAACTTTTTATATATAAATTAAAAAATATGTATCATTATATATATATATATATGAAAAATTATCAAATTTGTGAAATTTTTTAATTTCATAAATAAAATTAAGATGTATGACACATATGATTTTCGTTGGCACCCATAGCCAAGATTCTCGTGTATGATTTTCGTTGCGAAGGAAAAGCGCATATTCCAGGTTTCAACTTTCAACCTTTCGTTTTTATTATCTCTGTCTTTTTATGTCATTGCAAGATCTTATTAGTGGATCCTTGGTACCTCAGGGTAATGATTATGAATTAAATAACTATAAATTCAATAATTCGAAACATTCCATTTGTTTAAGAAAAATATATATTTTTAAGCCAAATGCAAAGAAAAAAAATTTTAAATCGTCTTAGGATGCTTTTTTTTTTTTTTTATCTTCAAGTTATGGCCTTATTTATATTGAAAATTTTTATTTTAATTTAAAAAAATTATAAGAGATCATATGCATAAGATATTTCAACGCATTGGAGATAATCTAAAGATCCAGATACCAATATTTTTTAATTAATTAATTTGCTATAAAATTTTAAAAAAATACATTAAACCCTAAGTTACAATTTTTCATTCAAACCCATAAGTTTAAGACTTAAAATAAAAGCATTGAGATTTGGCAAGTTCCAACATAATCAAGACAGTGCAGCTTCCACATCGGAGTGTGTTTTTCATTTATTAATAATGTCGATCACAACTTCCTATTTAGGATACCTTTGAAAGAAATTATAATTTAAGAACCCTAATTTCTTAAGTCAATAAAACATTGCCAGACAGATTAGCTTTTCTTAATTACAATTTGTAAAAAAACTAAGCAACAAAACCACTTGATCTATACAAAAATAGTTCTTCAACTTTTAGCTTTTAGCTATTACACGTGATCTCGATCCCCACTCCAACAATAAAATATTAAAGGGTAGTTTTTTTATAATAAAAACATAATTAATTAAAATTTATTTAGATCTAAAGATTTGTATATTCATATTGTATAAAATATTAAAATATATATTTATATCGTATTTTATATGAAAATTACATATCATAATTTATATTTATATAAAAATATATATATTTTTAAAATTTTATTAAACTCATAAATTATATTACTTTCATATTTTATTTTTGAATTTAAATTTTAAATTTATTGAATATTATTTCTTTAAAAAATTATATGAATAAACTAAACGAATGTTAATCTTTGCAGTGGTGCATGGGACATGATCATAACTAATACGAAGCTTCCTCCATCTTTATTAATAGTAAACACCGGCTGAGTGGTTTGTTTTATATAAGATGATATATGACTTTTCTTGAGAGAAAATTAGCTATGAAATTTAATTTCATACGTTTTTTCCCACCTTTTGGCTATTAGCAATGGAAACGAAATCAAGATAAAATGTCATCCAAGTAAGGATATACCCTTTCCCATTACTTTTTGTGCTTCCAGTTGTAACCCTAGAATTTGCCAAACTTCTAAGCTATTTGGACTTTGGAAGCACTCTCTATTGGATATATATTCTCTTCTAAACTTTATTTGTCCTATTTTTATTAGAATTTATATTTGATATATTATTAGTATATAAATTTTATATATTCTCAGTGAATTAGATAATGTAATTTTATTAACAAAATAAATCAGATGATACCATCTAATTAATAAATAAAATTTTTAAAAAATATTAGTTTTTATATTTTTTTTAAGAATTGATATTTACTTATTAATAAAATAATATTATCTGATTTACTGATAGTATATAAAATTTATAAATTAATAATATATCAAATATAAACTCTTTTTATTATGAAAAATTCCTTTATTTTTCCCTCTTACCATATCAATCTTTTCTATTTTCACCTTTTTTATGATTTTTTTTGTACAAATGAGGTTCTATATGCTTTTCAAACTTCCCAGATATTATGGCCCTTGAATGCCAATTTTCCCCATCATTTTTGTTATATTCAAAGAAAACTAGTTTCATTTCAAGACCTTAGGTCATTGTTGATATACAAGATTATAATATGATAAAATAAGATAATATTACGAATAATATTAGATTAAATAATATCATCTTATTTTGTGTTTGATATATGCAAAGATTAAGATAATATAATTTATTTATTTATCCAAATTATCCTTATTCAAAGTTTATATAATTTAAAATGTTGATATAATTTTTAAAGATATAAGTAGACATATAAATTTAATTTTATGAATTATAAAATAATCATTTCCACTTAAAGGGGATTGAATAATCCTATACAAAGAATATATTAATCCTTCTTATAATCTTTATTCCTCTCTTTAAATACAAATTAAATGTGATATAAAATAATTATTATCATATTTTATTAATAATACTATGCATCAAATAGACCATTAACTTTCTATAGGAGATAAAAGTCAATGATCCTATAATCTTTAATTCTTTTCAATGTCATTTTAAAATGGGATTGCTTTGCTTACGCATGAAATAAAATGTAAGATATGAAAATGTTGGCATCACATCTCATGGAACATATAAACTTTTTTTTTTTTTACAATATTTTAAGATAACGTTTGGTATTTTTTATAAGATCATACTGATAATATAATTATTTGAATTATTTTATTAAAGATTTGATAATTATTACAATTTAAAATTTATAAAATTTAAATTTCATTTTTTAAATTTTTAACTTTTTTATTTGTATTTAAAATATAAATAATTATGTTCGAACATTTAATTCAACAATAAATAATATCTTTATTATTTTTAGAATAAGCTTCAAAACTTCTTTTTCTTTTTTAAAAAGAAATATTCATCTAGCAAATGATTAATTGCAATTATGTTAATATTTTAAACATATAACTCTACCATAAAAGTGTATATATTTCTTTATTTTTTTTATTTCAAAAGAAGACAAAATTTTAGTACAAATTAAAAAAAAAAAAAGATTCAAAATCAAATCTTTATGTCTTTTTAAAAGCTTCTTTGACTACTAATTGTTTCGATCTTGTTGTTTCTATGAAAATGAAGATAAAAAATATAATCTGACTATCGATTTTACCTAATAAAACCAACTAAAATTTTCGGATATTGAAAAACTTCCATTGGTGAAAAGTTATTGAAATG